ATTAAAGAAATAAATCTTAGGAATAGTAAACTTGCATTTTTTTTTGCAGAATTGGTCCCTGTACTATTGTTGGGCTTCAAAGTTAGGAGTAGTAAATTTGGATGTTTTTTGACAACTTTGTTTTTCATTTTTTAGCCATTTTGACATTTTTGGTCCTTACAATCAATATTTTTACAATTTTTAGGAACCTTTTAATATTTAAAGTTTGGCCACAGAACTTTAACGGTTTGACAACTTTGATATATTTTCTAAAAAGTTGTTAATACTACCCTTTTAGTTCTTTAGCCATTTTGACACTTCTGGTATTTGCAGTCAAAACTTTTATATTTTTTCATAAAAAACATGAAAAAAAACGGTTCGGGGCAAAACCCGAGCTTTTCATCATTGCACTTTGTATGTCTGTCATATTTACCGATTCGGAAACAACATTGAAAACTTCTGGCCCCCGCATAGCGAGGGTAACCTTTCTAGTTATTATTATTATTATTATTATTATTATTAAATTAACTAAAAATGAGTTTATAAAACAATATCTTATTTTTATCATGTAGCTATATTCATTTTATCTTTATAAATTGGACCAATAAGTTTTTGATAAATTTTCTAGGAAAAACTTCAGGTCTGTGTATTATTGAAGGGCCTTTGATCAACCCATTAAAGTGACCAAACATGCCAATTGATAAATTGAATATGCTGCTAAACCAAGAACGCAATCGACATCATATAGCCCATGGGTCCTTCACCCAACAAAGTTTTCGTAGGAACCCTAATATCAGATGATTTCAATGGTGGTGGAGCTCATGCGACAATTATTGACGAGCAATCTTTTAATTTTCATTTTTCTGAATGACTTATATCCTCTCTTGTTCTACTCTCAAGCTTATTCTTGTTCTTCATTGATCCTCGTTTTCTGCAGCACCAGCAACATCCTCTTCGTCTACCATGTTTTCTTCCTCATGACCTTCCTCTTCATCTGCAACAACTTCTGCAGCCACTTCTTAGACATCAACCTGACTCTATGTGATTGCTACATCTCCTAAAACAATTTCATCACCATCACTCTTAACATCCGCCATCATTTCCTCTCTTTCAATAATTTCATTTTATTGTCATTTCCGTCTTTATCATTCTCAATCACGAACGAACCATTTGTATTGGTATCCTCTTTGTTGCTATTGGCATTTTCCTCTACTACATCTATACAAATATCTCACGTGATTACAGCTGCCACACACTCTCCAACGTCAACTTTGGTCGAATTTGCTAACTCACTACCACCATGCTCTACAACAGCAACATTAAAGGTAGAAATTCCATCATTTGCAGCACCCTTAGCTTTGTTCTTCTTGTCTTTTAACAAACTCATAGGATCAATCACCACCGAGTTCCAACATTCGCCCATTTGCTATGAATTTTGGCATTCCACACTAAATTCCTTCCAACTTCGTTTACTTCATACGCCGATGAGAATATAGTATTTCCTTTTGAAAAGAGTAGCTTCTGAGTTTGACTATCCTACTAGACTGAGACTATTCACTTTGATGGAGATAAAAAAATTTGCTTGATAGTGTTTGGATACTTCTTTTCCAGCCCATAATGACCAAACTACCCATGCTTTTTCGTGCATCAAACTTGCTGCTACAATCTTGTGATTTCCTCATTTCCTTTTTCTATATGTGAAAGACAATAGTCAAAAGCATCCATGCACATGTCATACATTCAAACAAACATCTTCCCTGTAGCTTTTCTTTAACACACAAGTCTTTGAAATTTACATCCTTTTGTTTGTCTTCAAATTGATTTCTTAAAAAAATGTGCCATGCATACGTTTTTTTCCCTTGGCTGACAGCTGCAGCATCACAGAAACAAAAAAAAAATCTGCACTTACATTCCTTTGATGAGACGAAATTGCCAAAAATAAATAAATAAATAAATAACTTTTTGGATTATAGAGGTGGTTTTAGCCAAAAGGAATTCTTTCTTTCTTTCTTGAACTTAAATTCTCGATAAAGTAAACAAAGAGAAACCCCCCTACTGTGTATTGTGATCCTTGAACCACCTTTACACCTTTTATTTTGATGAAACATCATGTTTGACCAAAATACACCTGATCATGCTATTGGTGAAGTTGTGAAAAGCTCAAGTTATTTATCAACAAGATGGACCATCGATGTTTTGACTTTTCAATCTTATTTAAAAGATGAACTCACTTGCTCTACTATAAATTTGACTTTTGCAGATCGTATTGTTGATCCCCAAGACTTGTAGTGAAGTTACCAAACTGCCCCTACACTTACCATAACTCTTGTAGTGACATGTCATAATCTGACATTTATCAATAACTTTGACTTTTGGAATGGAGCATTAACCTAAAATGGGGATAAGAACAACCATAACATACTTGAGAGCTTATTCTATGTTGTTCTTTTCTTGAATTGATAACCCTTGACAAGTAAAGAAACCCTTTTGAATGAAATAATAAAGCCATGCTCTTTTTCATTTGGTTTCCCATGAAATATACTTGCATCTTCCACAAATCAAACACAAAAATAGACCTTGATCCTATTGATTTCATCTTGGTTCACTCTAGTCACTAGACAATTACAAAGTCTGTTTAATGACAAAGACATTACTTTTTCTACAAATCAATATAGGACAGCATCCAAAACTCTTTTTAACACTAGAAATGAAAATAATATATATACACACATTTCTTTAGAGAGAGAGAGACAACAAATATAATATTTCAAAAGTTCAGACTCTCTCACATCCTCTAAAATTAACAAACAACTTTAGAAACCCATTTGAGGATGGGTTTCAAAACATACCTCACTTTTGAAAGATTCTGATCAGATAAAAAACAAAAAACTTAAGGTTTCAGAACCCTCTTCTTCTTTCCTGGAGACTTCTGACTCGGTGTTTCTTTCTAACTCCATTGACTTTGTTTCAGGTACACAATATGTACTCTTTGGAACCCAAAGTTGCTGCATCTTCCTTGGTTTTGGAGATGCATTATTTTTAACCCACATCTTCTTTGTTTGATGCCTCTGCTTTCTTTTCTTTGATTGTATTTTCCTGTAAGAAGAGTTAGTGAACCAAGAGCATACATTAAAAAGCTTACTAGCTTAAGCTCTTCCAATGTTTGGAGTTTGAGTCTTGATATAGGGTGACATGAAGTCTTCACAACTTGATATGGCTTGACATGTAACGTCCCAAAAACAGTAATATAATTTTTCATTTTTGAGTCTAGCAATCATTCATCAATTGTTCATAATCAAAACCAAGTCATAATATTCAAAACATCAGAGTACAATTATTCATAATGCAAAAATCATGAAGGGAGGATGTTGTGCCATCATGTCGGGCCCTTCCCTTTCGAACCGGAGGTACTTGAAACCATAAACATAAACTATAAACATAAAGCTTAGTGAGTTCCCCAAAGTACCTCATACCAATTATACAACTGGGGTCAACACTAGGGTATTGTCCAACCAATATACACATATGGGCCCCGTCCTGGGGCCTCTCCCTGGGGTGTATTTCAACCCGGTCAACACATATGGGACCTGCCTTGGGGCCTCACCCTGGGGTATCTTTCAACCCAATCATATAGTAGTAGGCCCTACCATAGGGTCTATTTAACCCGAACATACAATAGTGGGCCCCTATGTAGGGTGTATTTCAACCCAACATACAATCACATATAAGCCACATAACAACTATCATCCTAAATAATAAAATAATAGGTCGACATTGGTGCCTTCAACCTATAGATACATTAAGAAGAATCACCTCCAAAAGAAGATAACCGAGCTACACACTCGAGCTGCTGCTAACAAGGCTCCTCACATTAATGATATTGCAAAGAAAATAACCCTAATTAATAATCCGAGTTTTTATCCCATAATAAATGGTACAACAAAACCCCATATCCTAAATTATGGGTAAAAAGGTCATTTTTTCATTCCATTCAGTCCAATCCTGAAAAGCCCAACAACTAATGATCCAAAGCCCAAAATAATGGCCTAAACGGTGGAATTGGGCCGAACGCCCTGTGTATCACCTTGTACTCCCCGCGTACAACATCTGATGCAAGAGGGAATTAGGTTCGAGGTGCAGTACATGCAGCAAAACACGCTTTTAAGCCCGACGTACGCATCCTAAGTCCAAAAATTCCATTAAGGTCTTAATGCCTTAAGACCTTACGTCTAATCTTCAGATTTGATCTTATTAAAACCTCTAATTCCATAAAGTTGCAATCTTTATGCTTTTGCATGGCTACAAAGAGCCTAACACTAACAACCTCACTTATTCAATCATTTTCTACACCATAACTCTTGCATAGGGACAAACCAAGATACATGCTTGCATTTTATGACTTAAATACCCTAAAATGTATAAAAGGTCATCTTAAAGTCTTTTGAGTACCTCATATTCGCAAAGACCTAGATTTTGAGACAAAAGGGATGAAAATCTAAGTTTAACCAAGATCTAGAGAAACATGAGTCATGTTTGGAGCTTTATACCTCCAAATTGTGCACAATGAAGAGAAAATGTTGGATTGAAGTTCTTGAGAGCAAAGCCAATTCTTTGATGAGATACCTTCACAAACAAGAACGCCCATAATTCACTTAAACGTTCAAAATGCTCAAAATAGGTTAGGGTTTTCAAGGAGGGTCGATTTTAGGGATGGAGACTGATAAGAAGAAGGTTTTTGGGGCTATAACGCTGCTTATAAAGTGCACAAACCCTAAATATTAGGGTTTGGTCCAAACTGCATACACCCTATGTACCAGCATACGCTCAACGTACGCACGCAAGACCAGGTACGGCCAATGTACCCATGATCCTCCTAAATTACAAAATGCCATAAAGGTCCACTTTCCACAATAATCACTTACTAAGGGGAGAAAGGATAAATACCTGGAAGAATAAGATGTTACATGCCAATGTCAAAAGTCTTGTCAGCTTGAACAAACTTATCAGTGTGAACTGATTTGTCAGCATGTGAAGTCTTGATAATGCGAACACTCAGCTTGAAGCTCTTTAGCATGAGGCTTATTGGAACCAGAGCTGGTGTGATGTTCATCAGAGTGAAAACAAGAGTTTCTTGATGAACATTCCATAGGTACATCTTTTATTTGAAAACTTACAAGTGAAAAACTTTTCTTCACATCCTTTTCTTTGATATTTTCTTTTAGATCTAACATCTCTTTCTCCCTTTGAACCATAATTTTCTTTAAGTCTTCTCTATCTTCTTGATTCTTATTGATGATTTTGTCTTTCAGATCAAGTTTAGCAATGAAGAACATAGATACAGGAGCTTTTGGATCGTACATCAGGTATGGAAAAAATGATAAAGGGCTTGCATCGATTACTCTTTTATTTTTCAAACTATTATGTTTTTCTTCATCATCAAGAATGTTTGTATCTTTATTGATCCTTCAAGTTATGAATTATTCTCTCATTTGAGAAACATCATAATGACCAAATATAATGGATATAGTTAGATAATACCAAAGATAAGAAAACATACCATACTCTCTTTTAAACATCTGAAATACTCTTCATATCTTCTTTTTCTTCTTCTCCTTCTGATTTTTCAGTTTCTGAATAGTGAATGAACTTCTTAATCTTTAACAGATCCTAGAACAAATGTTCTAGCCTACTTTGATAGCAATTAAAAGTCCCAAACCATTTGTAGATTCATATGTCAAACATAAACAAGAAAGTATAATGAAGAGCCTAGAAGTATCATCAAATTTTCTTTCACCAAGAAAGGGTTTGTTTTCACTAAGAAAACGGGTTGTCACAAAGACAATTAACACAAAGCCAATGATGACACCAAGCCACAAATTAGGGTTTCACCCTAATGTGGTATATATACTTATCTAATCTAGAAAAATATTTATAATCAAGGGCATCAACATTAACATTTGGAGATCCGCTTCAGCTTCAATCATAGTATCAGGGTCAAGCCGATCAACTTCAACTTCAACAGATAGTGAATGACCATCAACGAGTGTCATCAATGTATCATCTGATCAGTGTATAACCATCAGTGTCTGGACACACTGATCAGTCTTCAATAGATGGTGTCTTCATTCCTTTGGTGATGATAGAGTCTTCATGGTCTTTTAGTCATCAGGGGATGTTCTTCAGTCTTCGACATAGGAACTTCCATTAGCATATCTTCATATTAACTAACTAAATATAACTATGGTGTATATATTTTTCATCATCAAATCTATATAATTGAGTGAACCAACACTTTCCTAATATAAGATCCTCGGATATTGGTTATTATTCAAGAACATTTATGTCGTTGTTGGAACCCGCAACCCTAAAAAAGCATGCCAAATCCATAAGTCTTGGGAAGCAACAACCTTTAATACCAAAAAAGTCGGTCCATGATGACCACTTATGTATTCTCTTTTCCACGTGTAACGCTAGTGTTCCGGGTATTTTCATAGTGAACATGATTCATTAAAAGATTGCAAATTTGGTCCCTATACTGGGAATACAAGATAGGTACGTCGAGAGTAGGTCACTAAAAGGATCGCAAGTTTTCCTCTCGTACGATGGGCGTACGCATACATACGCTAGGAGAACTCATACAGAGGGAAAACCCTAAGTTGTAGGGTTTGGACCCTATTTAAAGGACTGTATGGCCTCAAACCCTTACTTACCTCCAACCTCCATCCCTCGTAGCCCTCATCTCAAAACCCTAATTCTTATGTGTAAGTGTTGAAGCTTTTTAGTTATATTTTGGTGTTCATGGTGGTAAAGGGAAACATTTGAAGTTGTGGTGTTGCTCTCAAGATTTTGGATCCAAATTTTTCACATCTTTGTGCATCTTCATTTGGTATAAAGTTCAAATCTTGATGATTTCCTTGCTATATCTTGTTAGGTAGCAAATTATGGCCTTTTTGTCCCAAAAACCTTGGTCTTATGAGAATGGTCTACTCCATACCATTTGAGCTATCCTTTCAAGCTTTTCTAAGTGTTTGGTGACATAAAATGCAAGTTTGGTCCTTTGTATTCTTCCATGCAAGAGTTATGGCGTATTAGATGGTTATATAAGTTATGGTTTTAGTTTTTAGTTCATTGTAGCCATGCAAAGGCATAAATGTTGCAAATTTACGGCTTTATACATTTATTATTTTTAGATCTAATTTTTGGACGAAAGGTCTTTAGTCATTAAGACCTTAATAGAGAGTTTGATCTTTTGAAGGGTATGTTGGGCGTATTGGGTTGCTTCCCCGTAATCCTTCCAAGTCTAAGAATTGACGGATTTCTGTAGGCATCCTTGGTGTTGAACAATTTTTGATCTCCTTGATTTTGGAAGGATTCACGTGTATCCCTTCCTTGCTAACCACATGACCAAGGAAACCCACATCTCGGATCCAAAATTCATATTTTGAGAATTTTGCATATAATTTCTCTGCCCTTAATGTTCCCAATACTTGTCGTAGGTGTTGGCTATGCTCTTCCTTACTCCTTGAATAAACCAGAATGTCGTCTATGAAGACAATCACGAACTTGTATAAGTAAGGCCGACACACTCGGTTCATTAGATCCATGAACACCGCGGGTGCGTTTGTTAATATGAAAGGCATCACTACAAACTCATAGTGACCATACCATGTTCTGAACGTTGTTTTAGGAACATCCTCCTCCTAGACCCATAGTTGGTGGTATCCTGACCTTAGATTGATTTTTGAGAAGTAAGTTGCCCCTTGTAGTTGGTCGAATAGGTCGTCGATTCGGGATAGAGGGTATCGGTTTTTGATGGTAAGCTTATTCAGTTCGAGATAGTTGATGCACAGGCGGAACGATCCATCCTTCTTTTCACGAACATGACCGATGCTCCCCAAGGCAAGAAGCTCGGTCTAATGAACCCTTTGCTTTGCAGTTCGTTTAGTTGGCTGGATAATTCTTGTATCTCGGCTGGCGCTAGGCGGTATGGCACTTTGGCTATAGGGGTAGCCCCAGGGATTAGGTCGATTCGGAATTCGACTTGTCGTACAGGAGGAACTCCGGGAAGGTCTTCTAGAAACACGTCATAGAAGTTACAGACCTCTAGAATTTCCTTGATGTCTCTCACCTCTTGCTTCATTATTATCGTTTAATGTTTCGGATAGTCAACTTATTACTTGAATTACAATAACAATTGTCCCATGCTCTAAACATGCACACTTTGTTTCCTATGGTCCATGCTTTGTGACATAGATCAATTCAAAACTTTTCCAATGATTCTCATTTCACAATTCCTTAATCCTAATTATTAGTGTAAGAACACAAGGTTCTTGCCACTACTAGAATATGCTAGATTCTAACATTTTACGCAACGATCCTTTCGTAAAGTCATAGCACAAAAGTCACCAAGACTTGGCTAATGAAATCACAAAGTACTTTCTTAAAAAATTGTTACAAGACAATTCCATAGACGTGAAGTCTCATATTCAAAGTACATTCCTTTGAACATCCTTCTTGCATAAAGTTTCTAATCTATGAAGTCTCATATTCAGTTTATAAAACGATTTAAAAGTAGTTTGCTTGATAAGACAGTTTGAAAGCATAGTAATTTCGTATGTTTGATAGTTATAAATCACATGTTATTGATATAATAACTATGATATTTAACTTGTATTCCCCCACCCCCACCCCCACATAAAAGCATGCAAAAGCATTAAAAATGTTGGTTAAGGGGTATGAACTCACCTGAAATCAGTGATGTGATAGTAGAATAGGTAAAGGATGTTAAGTGTCAAGTGAGGACTTTTTTTTTTTGGAAAGGGAACTTCCCTAACGAGGGTTTCCGGCCAGCTTTCGTGCACCGACTAATCCCCCGCTGCAAACATAAAGCTTTGCTTCATGCCCTGGAGTCACTGCAGGCGAACCTCCATGGCCACAAGGGCTGAGTGTGTGTCAAGTGAGGACTTGAGCACACACAGATCCTATTTAACATATAAAGACACGTATATGCTTACAATTAGTGTTTATAACAACTAATTAGGTAATTGAACAACCTTAAGGACTAGGAAACACTTGTACTGAAGTGTTAAACCAGATTGGCTTGCACATAAGGGGGTGTAGGGCCTCACTTGGGAGTTTATGGCCCATATGGTAAGAACCACATGAGTTTACGGCCCAAAGACTATTTCATCATGAGTTTACCACCATAAACTCATGGTACTAAGTGTCAAGTTGTGATTTAAGGTCTTTTATGTCAATATGAAGTGTTTTATGATCAAGTCTAAGCCCTAGGAAGGAATGGTGGCATCATTGCACCACTAACTAGTGTTCACAGCCTAAGGACCATTTCCCCATGAGTTTACGGCCGTAAACTCATGGTACCATGTACCAAATCAAATTTTAAGGTCCCTAGCTTATGATAAAAGTGTTCTAGACTTGATCCTAAGGCTTGAGAAGATATTAGGGCTCATTTGGACCCTTAAATAGAATTTACGGCCCAAGAAGGTTCCTTGGCCGTAAAATCCCTTTTGATTATGATTTCTTCATGATTTTTAAGTGTAATCTAGTTGATTTAAGCATAGAACAAGCTAAGACAAGAGTACTTATTGTTTAGAATCTAGAAAGGGTGCTTAAGGCTCAAGAACACTAGTGTGTGTTTTTGGTGAAATGAAGAACACTTGATTATCTATCAAATGAAGAGATTTCATGGATGAAATCATTCACAAACAGTAGATAATGAAGTTTACTAACAAATCAAGGAAGAAAATACTTACTAAGTTGAAGATCTAGTGATGATACTTGAGAGAGAATGAGGTTAAGGACTTGAAAATGGTTGAAAATGACAAAAGTGGCTAAGTGTCACTTATATAGGCCTTAGGGTTTACGACCCCAATACCATTTGGGCCGTAAAATCCAAAATCTTGGAGTTTTGGAACTTAAATGTTGCATACTTTAACCTAAAGTATCCTCTCTCCAATTATCTCTTGCAGTAATAGGCTTTAAAACACTCAAACTGACTCCAAAACTGCTAAAATTTGGCAATTGAAATTTTGACTTTGATTGAATGCAGGGATTGTTATAAGATAGAAATTTCGAGTTGTCACATGTATGTGCAAGAATAGGGGTGTAACAGGCACATAATGAATCTAGAAATATTGTGCTATAGCAACATAAAATACTCCTATAGTATTTTAAAGATTGTTTTTGGTTCTTAGCGTATTTCTTATATGGATGATGGTAGGTTGCTAGATTTGTTGCCCATTACGACTATCCCCCGGCATATGCTAGTCACTTCTCGGATGAATATAGTTGATCAGGCTATATTGATTACGTATCCCAAGGTATACTTATAGTGTACAAC